GAAAAAACTAAATATTTAGAAGCTTGCAGCAGCAATAAGCTACTACTTGCTTGATGTTACAGCTTGTCTTGTCATATTTCATTTTTGAGAATGATTTGTTGAAAATCATGGCAATACTTGAGAAAGTAGATCGTTTATTAAACATTTTCAATGTTTTCTGTTCTGTTTGATTCAGGTGATCAACATTTTCTCATAATATGTCATGAATCTCAACATCTGGGCTCATCAAAATAAAATAGGAGTACTTAGATCGGTTTTGGAAACATTTTTTCTCTCTTCTTATCGATCATCAAGTCACACGAATTTCTCTTTATTGGTATAAGTTCTTTGTCTTCTCTTTCTGTTCCCACATTCTCGAATTTAGCTTTTGAAAATAGTAATGTGTTAAGATTTACAGATTACAAATAAACTTCCTAAAATGTATTTATTTGTATTAACCTATTCGATTCTTCTCAATAAACGATCCTAAGGTATTTATATTTTGAATTCGTAATTTTGAAGGTTGACGTACACAAAAATCCTGAAAAAGTGCTAAAGCAGAAAACTGAATCGTTAATCCTTGTATGGTCAAAACATTTGATGCTAACTATTTTTATAATCTTACTCAACGTGTTTTCTGAGCTTCTCAAGTGTAGTATTGCGTGATTCATTTTTCATTTCAATTTATTTAATAACATTAACATGATGTGAAAGCACTACATAACCACTTATGGTATCATACTACTTAAGATCACATTAGAGAAGAAATATTTTACATTGAATATTTAATACTTGACGATTCATAGGAGCTGAACATTGTAACAGTAAAGAAAACATTACAAAGCTAAAAATGCCATGTCCTAGATATTTATGTCCGCATTGTTGATGAACATCGAGGAAAATAATATTCAGTGTTAGTAAATAAATAAATTTCAACACTGTCTTGTCTCCAGTCCCTAAAACAACACACAAAACCTGTATTCAAACATTTTATTCAAAAGAAACCGAAACATAACATTCCTGCATTAATTTTGCATAGATTATTCTCTTCTAGATGGTAATAACTTACTTGTGCAAAAATGTTCACAGAATATTTCAGTAACGCGACGATAAAACAAAGATCGATCACTTGCACCCTGATGAGCGTCCCATTGTGAATAATTCGGTTATTCACGTACCTGTAATCGTAAACGAGCCATGGACGTTCCATATGCGCTGGGACTGTTCGTGAAACAATGCCCATTTTCTTCTCGGAAAACATCCCTTAAAAGCGACATATTTCCTATGCAAATGCACGAACAAGTGGTAACAGCTCGCTATAACCGGCGAAAGGCATCGAGAAGCACCGTCTAAGCCTCCCTGGAACATGTCATATGCAAATTAATACCACGTGTTTATTCAAATCGTCTCGCTTTCCGATTGAGCTTATGGCCCCAATTTTGTCGAGGCGACCGCCAGACCCGACGTCTCGTGGCGCATGTTTATGCAACGATCGTAAACAGCCACGGCGGCGGTTGGGGATGCCGCAAGTGATACTGATGATCGCTGGTGGGAGCAATAGCTTAGGTGGTGCTTCTGCTGATCGTGGTATTTTGGGGGAAACAAAAGGGTTTGAATGCTCGAAAAGCGATGGCGATTATTAATATACTCGAGGGGAGAGAGTTGTTTTATACTAATATGTTAACCAAATTTACAGTAAATGAAACACTAAATACAATTCAGAATGGCCACTCTTCCGTGAGCAAATATGTGACTTTCCCCAGTTTGGAATTACTTGTTTGAAAGATTTTACTGGTACAGTTCCTGGATTATTAAATAAAAATAAATAAATAAAAGATTTCTAGTTTCTAATTTGGCAGCTCAATGATTTCTCTGTGAAAAGACAATCAGTAAAAATATTTGTTTAACAAATGAAAATTTGTCATAAATTATTGTTGTACCATCTTCATTTAAGAAATTTTATCTAGTTTTATTATTGTCTCAAACATTTTACTGACTTCCTAAGATTCTTATAAAAATATCTTTGTTTTTATCGGACTTTTGCACATTAATGAAATTTACTGACTTTTCCCAGTTTTCCAGAAAGTGGCCAACCCCCAATTTATTTTACTAAATGATGATGTTTATCGAGGAATGTATGATTGCTGTAACGACGGAGGTCAGTAAATGAGAAATGCATTTGCTGAAATTCTTTACAGTACCAACTGCACCATCAGTGACTACTACCTCTTGAATTGATTTATAAGTAGTTTCCTCTGTCCTCTAGACATAAGGAAATAGTAAGAGTCTTTCTTAGACTGGAATTAAGTTTAGAGTTACCAATATTCTTTCTTGTATAGTTTCTAGTCACAGGAAACAATGTTGTAGAAGTATGACTTTTTTAAATATTGTATATAAAAACTGTATAAGTAGGGAATGGAACTAGTAACTGAAATAATTAAGTGCGGGTTATGTCGGCCGAGGGAAGGAAAAACCTTAGACACAAATTTCAGAAGAATAAAGGCCACCAGCACCCGTTCCAAAATCAATTAATCTTCACAAAGTATTCGTGGCAAGAAAAAGTGTATTTATTAGTTAAAATATCTGTGCAGGGCAGTTACAAAATGTAGAGTTAATGCTATTATTATTGTCTCAATTATCATATTATTATTATTATTATTATTATTATTATTATTATTATTATTATTATTATTATTATTATTGCCTTAAAATGATTTTAATTACACTGTATCAATATTCCTAATTGTAATATGTTAATTGTAGTGTTCTGCCACCAGATTGTATAAACCTACCTGCAGAAATAATAAAATCTATCTATCTCTCTGTCTAATCTATTTATCTATTTCTCTATCTATGTATTTATTTATTTATGTATCTATCTATCAATCTATCTTACCTACCTATCTATATATCTATCTACCTATTTATATACCTACCTATCTATATATCTATCTATCTAACATGGCGCAGGCAAATTCATCACTAATGCGGTTCTATTTGCGGACTAACATTCAGCGCCATAGGGAAGCAATCATCATCATCATCATCATCTACATGCATCACACGCGTCGTCTGGCGGGCGGCAGCTGCGCCGCGCGTGTCGACGCAGGGGCCCCGATCGCGCCTCGGTGGTTGGAGGCGTCAGCGCCGCCCGCCCGCCTGACGCCCGAGCGCGCGCTTGCGTGTTCGAACACGCGGCCCGGGGCCCGCTTCGACGCAGCGCTGCTTAATGGTCTCTCGTCGCGCAGCGCGCCCTCCGCAGGCGGCCGGCAACACACGAGTGATTGGATGAAGCAACGGTTCTTTCCCGCCCTTTTTAACGTCCTGGAAGTTAGCAGGACCATTTCATCCAATCACAAAACTGCGTAGTAAATAAATTGCCGTTTTGAAGATGCGGAAAAGAAAAATTTGTCGCGGGTCATTTTCTCAAAAAAATCTGTGTTCACGCTAACTTCCGATGGAAGTTAGCAGGACCACACCTCTAAATCCGCTACTATTTCAAGTTTATACACAAAACTGTACTCAAAATTTGCCATTTTTTATTTATAAACGATTAGTGAAGAAATCAAACTGATATCTCCCTTTGCCTCAAGGACCGCAGCTGAGGAAATCATCTCAAAGACCCGTTACTTCATGTTAGCTTAGTTTATATTGTATTTCGACGCAGCCTGCCTTGTGGGTTTTCCTCCAGGATCGAGCGGCGGGTGAGATTATGTAATTCTGTATTAATAGATCAGAGTCGCTCAGGATGAAAACCAGGCTACAGCGTAGCGCGCAGATATGTAAAGCACATAATCTTATGTAATTCAAATTTTGTTTTAATTTAATCCATTTAACCTCTGATGTTATATATTTATAAGTCGTTTTAAATAACGTTTGCTTTCCTCTACTTGCCACTTGTAGATTATATTACGTTTACATTTTTTTAGAGTACATTACTTTTTTAGACTAATTTGTATATTTGTGACATGCGGGTAGGCGGAAGAGCGGGCCTGATGGCCCGAGCCCCGCCATGTCAATAAAGACATATTGTTATTAATATTATTTTTATTATTAGTATTTTCAACTGTTGGAATCAGTTGGAATCGTTTGACCAACGATTACTTTGTAGTTCGCGCTTCTCCCGTACACGAATTTACAGCGTTAATGTGTCAATGTTTTGTAAGTATTAAGTCGTCATAATAAAGCATTTATTTTATACTTTGGATTTGCCTTATGAAAATACTGTCTAAAAGTTATTTTTCAGGATACATTGCCACCGCATTTTCCCGCGTTTCCAATCGACGATTGGTACAGTGGCACCGGTTACACCGAGTGAATCGAGTGTAACAACGGTTGGGCTGTCATTGCGTATTTTCGGTACTAGTTTTTGACTAGGTGAAATTCTGACTGGACGCTGACTGGAAAAGAATTCTAGGGTCGGCTTTCCTGATCGGGAGTTTCCAATGAACACCAGGCAATTGCGGAAGCAGTAATACGCAAACGGGCCACAAACGGTGCGCTGACCATACTTGTTCACCCTAGTCATCTCCCCTCACACACACACACTTTTACAAGCAATTCACTACCACACATGCCGAGAGAGCAATGAGGAGCATGGAGCTTTGTCCGGCTCAAGCGGTGCTCTGCTGGCGGGGAGGTCTGATGAGAGGAAACCCCAAAAACCAACTAGTAGCATGGCAGCGGATTTTTGACTTAATTTGTATTTGTATTTGTGAATTAATATTCTGGAATGTTGGAGAGCAACTTTCGTATAGGAATGCCTTTACCCTCTTAAAAATCACATTTCAAAACAAAATTTAAACAAAAACAAATTTCTTCAAATTCTGTGCGTTAACATTTCATAAATACATCATTCGTCCAGATTGCCGGCTGTGGGTGGTAAGGGGCAAAATACCGTCGACACTTGCCGAAGGACGTCAAGTTATGTTCTAACTGTATAATTTTGACTCAGTTTGTAAAATTCTTATTTATTATCTTTATTTAACCGTCTTCGTTTAATATCCGTTGTTCACATTATCATGTGGAAGCTCAGTTTTATATTTGTTGCATTTAGTGTTGTGAGATGTTTAGCACATGACAGTGATTCAAAATCAGTATTAGTGTATAGTAGTGATCAATTTTTAACTGAAGTATCCAAGCATAATAATTTTGTTATGTTTTTTGCACCATGGTGTGGTCATTGCAGTAGATTATCTCCCACTTGGGATCAGTTGGCAGATAAATATAATAGTGCTGAAAAAAACTCTGTTAAGATTGCAAAGGTTGATTGTATCGTAGAAACTTCTTTGTGCTCAGAGCAAGATGTAACTGGTTATCCAACCCTTAAACTTTTCAAAACTGGAGAAGATGAAGGAGTTATATACCGAGGGACCCGAGATCTGGCATCTCTTACTACTTTTATTAGTGAACAGCTAGGAATAGAGGAACCAAATAGTGTTGCAGAACTTCCAGAGCCTGTGAATGGATTAATTGAGTTAACAGAAGAAACTTTTGAAGATCATATAAGGGAAGGAAAGCATTTTGTTAAATTTTATGCCCCTTGGTGTGGTCATTGTCAGAAATTGGCACCTACATGGGATGACCTTGCCAGATCATTTGAATACGATACAACAGTAACTATAGCAAAAGTAGACTGTACTGTGCATAGGTCAGTATGTAACACCTTCGATATTGTTGGATATCCTACATTGTTATGGATTGAAGATGGTAAAAAGTTGCAGAAATATCAAGGCCAGCGAACTCTTGAAGATCTGAAGTCATTTGTTTCACGTATGCTAACCCCATCTGATGCAACTGCTACTGAACAAGAAACTGATACTGATGATAACAGCCCCATTGCTGTTTTGTCAAGAGAAAACTTTGAATCTGGTGTAGCTAGTGGTTTTGCATTTGTAAAATTCTTTGCGCCTTGGTGTGAACACTGTAAACGTCTAGCACCTACATGGGAAGAACTGGGTAAAAAGTTCGTGGGTAACGAACTAGTTCGAATTGTAAAAGTGGATTGCACTCAGGAGATAAGCAAGGATCTGTGTAATAGGCAAGAGGTGGATGGTTTTCCAACTTTGTTCCAGTATAAAAATGGAGAGAAAATTGAAGAGTATAATGGTTCTTGTAGTTTGGATGATCTGTACGAGTTTGTTTTAAAACATCTTCCACATGATGAACTGTAAGACTTACGT